AGTTCGAGCCCAGCCTAGGCAACATAGGGAGACAGACCCTGTTATATTGTAGAGAGACCCCATCTCTATAAAATATAAAAATAAAAATGTTAGATGTGGTGGCATCCCTGCTGTCCCAGCTACTCAGGAGGCTGAGACAGGAGGATCGCTTGAGCCCAGGAGGTCAAGGCTGCAGTGAGCTGTGATCATGCCACTGCACTCCAGCCTGGGTCACAGAGCTAGACCCTATCTCTAAAAATTAAGTAAATAAACCTGGAGCACCCAATCTTTTTTTTTTTTTTGAGACGGAGTCTCGCTCTGTCGCCCAGGCTGGAGTGCAGTGGCCGGATCTCAGCTCACTGCAAGCTCCGCCTCCTGGGTTCACGCCATTCTCCTGCCTCAGCCTCCCGAGTAGCTGGGACTACAGGCGCCCGCCACCTCGCCCGGCTATTTTTTTGTATTTTTTAGTAGAGACGGGGTTTCACCATGTTAGCCAGGATGGTCTCGATCTCCTGACCTCGTGATCCACCCGTCTCAGCCTCCCAAAGTGCTGGGATTACAGGCTTGAGCCACCGCGCCCGGCTCCAATTTTTTAATTTAATTTTTCTTTTTATTTTACTTTTTTTTTTTTTTTGAGATGGGGTCTCTGTCATCCAGGCTGGAGTGCAGTGGTATGATCTTGGTTCACTGCAGCCTCAATCTCTGGGGCTCAGGCAATTCTCCCACCCTAGCCTCCCCAATAGCTGTGACTACAGGCACATGCCACCACGCCCAGCTAATTTTTGTCTTATTTTTTGGTAGAAACAGGGTTTCACCATGCTGCTCAGATTGGTCTTGAACTCCTGGACTTAAGACATCCTCCTGCCTCAGCCTCCCAAAATGCTGGGATTACAGGTGTGAGCCACTGTGCCCAGCTATTTTATTTTTAAATGAATAAAAGCTGGAGCACCCAACTTCTTTTTTATTTATTTTAAATTTTTTTGAGACGGAGTTTTGCTCTGGTTGCCTAGGCTGGAGTGCAATGGTGCAATCTTGGCTTACTGCAACCTCTGCCTCCTGGGTTCAAGTGATTCTCCTGCCTCAGTCTCCTGAGTAGCTGGGATTACAGGCATGCGCCACTACACCCAGCTAATATTTTGTATTTTTAGTAGAGACAAGGTTTCATCATGTTGGCCAGGCTGGTCTTGAATTCCTGACCTCAGGTGATCCACCCGCCTCGGCCTCCCAAAGTGCAGGGATTACAGGCGTGAGCCACCGCGCCTGGCCTAGAGCACCCAATTTTTAAATTTAAATTTCCTTTTTTTTTTTTTGAGACAGAGTCTTCCTCTGTCACCCAAGCTGGAATGCAGTGACCTCATCATAGTTCACTATAGCCTTGACCTTCCAAGCTCAAGCAATCCTCCTGCCCCAGCCTCCCAATTAGCTGGGAGTACAGGCATGTGCCACAACACCCAGCTAATTTTGTAGAGGTCGGATCTCCCATGTTGCCCAAGCTGGTCTCCAACTCCTGGGCTCAAGCGATCCTCCCTCTTTGGCCTCCCAAAATGCTGGGATTACAGGTATAAACCATCACACCCCAGCCGGAGGGCCCCCAGTTGTTGCTGTGTGACCACAGGCTAATGATGTCCTCTCTGGGCCTCAGGTGATAAATGCTGAGGAGGGAGGTGGGGCCCAGGAATTCAGACTTTCAAACAGCCTTTGGACTTGGGCCTTGGGGACATTCCAGGGGACACTTTACTAGGCAGGGGCAGTGTGAGACAGGAGGCGGGGCTGCCACCTCTGGGGCCCTGAGCCCAGAGTCCTTCCCACCACATTTGGGGACTTGAGCACTTCACCAGTCCTGACTCAGTTTCCTAGTCTGTGAATGGGGGTGTGTCTCCTGGAATGTTGCACCCCCTCAATCATTCACTCACTCATTCATTATCCTCTCATAAGCACCTACTATGTTCAGGGTGCTGAACTGTGCCCATCCTCCTGGAGCTAACTCAAGTCTAGGAGGGAAGCTTTGTCTCAGTTCCTTCCTCTAAAAAATGGAGCTTGAGGACGGGCATGGTGGCTCATGCCTGTAATCCCAGGACTTTGGGAGGCTGAGGTGGGAGGATCACTTGAGTCCCCAGGAGCTGGAGACCAGCCCGGGCAACATGGTGAGAAGCCCGACCTCTACAGATAATTTAAAAATTAGCCAGGCACGGAAGTGTGTGCCTACAGTCCCAGTTACTTGTGAGGGCTTTGAGCCCAGGAGGTCGAGGCTGCAGTGAGCTGTGACCGCACTCCAGCCTGGGCATCAGAGCAAGACCTGGTATCAAAAAAAAAAAAATAGTAATAAAAAGGAGGCTGGATTCCCTCTTGGCAGGGTAGGGAGGGGGCTTCAGCGCCCAGGGCAAGGTGGCTGGGCGGTGGTTTTGCGGGAGGGCCAAGGAGGGGTCCCTGGGTCTGGGCTGTAAGAGTCGATTGCCTGGAGGCCTTGCAGGGTGGGGGCGTCAACAAAGCAAAGCTTGGAGGGGAAAAAACAAAAGCCCCAGCCAGGCAGGTGGAGTCCCCTTGGCTGAGTTCAACCGAGGGTTCTCTGGGGAATGCGTGCATACCCAAGTGACAGCTCCGAAAACTCCCTTCCAGGGCAAAGTTCCCAAGCGCAGAAGAGAACCTGTTCACTTCTCCCCTGCTCAGCCCGCCCCCTGGCCAGCCAGTTCTACTTCCTCTTTTCCTGCTCCGCTGCTTGCTTTCTCTCTTCAGCTCCTCCCTGCCCCTCACCCCAGGCTGCTTGGCCACCTCCAACCTGCCATCTGAGGACATCCAGGCAGTCACTCATTCAACAGCGAGGAGCCCTGGGGTGGGTGTGGTGGGAAGGAGTGGGGGTGATGGAGACCCTGGGAGGGCTCGCAGCCTGGTGGGTGAGGCCCAGTTCTAAATGCCAGCTGCAAGCCTTGGTCTGAGGTAGGGAGGAAGGCATGGTTGCAGAGGCTAAAAGGTTTCCCTAAAGACGGACTTTCTGGGATGGGACTTGAAGGGTGCATAGGAGAGCACCAAGAAGTGGCCGCTGCAGACAGAGGGAACCAGAAGCCAGGAGGACAGGCCAGGAAGGCTGCAGCCTGGGGTGGGGTGGGGCTGGAGCTCCTGTCTCTTGGCCAGCTGAGTAGAGGCCCAGTGGCAGCACAGGTCCTGCCTGGGGATCAGGTCTGCTCTGCACCCTACCTTGTTGCCTGGAGCCGCCCACCCAACAGCCTCCCATCCTTGCTCTGCAGATCTGGTCCCATCCCCACCTCCCACAGCACTCCACCCAGTTCAACCTTTGAGGAACCCCCAGAACCAGCCCTCATCAACAGGCAGCAAAAAGGTCCCCCCCCCGCCCATCGCCCCACAACGCTGGCCCGGTGAACTGTAGGGTTGGCAGGTCCTGAGGCAGCTGGCAAGACGCCTGCAGCTGAAAGATACAAGGCCAGGCACAGGACAGTCCCATCCCCAGGAGGCAGGGAGTATACAGGCTGGGAAAGTTTGCCCTTGCGTGGGGTGGTGATGGAGGAGGCCTAGCAAGCCTTCTGGACTGTGAACCTGTGTCTGCCACTGTGTGCTGGGTGTTGGTCATCTTTCCCACCAGGCTGTGGCCTCTGCAACCTTCCAGGGAGGAGTGGGTCCCACTGACTGAGCACAGCCTTGTACCGTGAACTGGAACAAGGCCACAGGTTCCACGTCCTTATATGGACTCATCTTTGCCTGTTGCAACACACACTCAATGAACACCTACTACGTGCTGCAAAGTCCCCTGAAGGCCTGACGTGCCCCCACCTCACCACCCTTCTTATTTTTGTGTAAAAATCCAGCTTCTTGTCACCACCTCCAAGGAGGGGGAGGAGGAGAAGGGCATGTTCCTCTAGGTTGAGCTGAATGCCCCTCTGTGGTCCCACGCCACTGATCACTGCATGTCCACCAGCTGGGTACATACAGTCTCTGATTCCCAGAGCAGAACGACCCTAGCCACCCGGGTCTTGTGTGCTACTGAGTGGACAGACCCGAGGCAAGAAAGGGTGACAAGAAGAGGGTCTTCCCAGGCTGGCTTTGAGCTCCTACCCCGCCCCGCCCCCAATCCTCTCTGGCACATGGAGTCTTGGTCCCCAGAGTCCCCCCGCAGCCTCCAGATGGTCTGGGAGGGCAGTTCAGCTGTGGCTGCGCATAGCAGACATACAATGAACGGTGGGCGCAGACCCAGGCTGTGTAGACCCAGCCCCCACACCCCGCAGTGCCTGGAGCTGCCTGGGTCACCCACTAACGCCCCAAGGCCTGGTCTTGGCTGGGCGTGACCACGTTACCCTCAGAAGCAGCAGCTCCTGGGGAAACTTTCCCTGCCCTGTAGAGCCCACCTTCCCAGGGCCGTGGCTGGGTGGGTTTGCAGCTTTCATCACAGGCCACCTCAAGCCACTGGACCGCTGGCGCCTGCCCTGTCCTGGGCAGTGTGGTCCTGCCACTTCTAAGTGGCCGCGAGCCCCCTGACTCCCCCAACACCACACTCTACCTCTCAAGCCCAAGTCTCTCCCTAGTGACCCACCCAGCCCATTTAGCTAGCTGAGCCCCACAGCCAGAGGTCCCGAGACAGGCTTTCAGGGCAGTTGCTCTGAAGTCGGCAAGGGGGAGTGACTGCCTGGCCACTCCATGCCCTCCAAGGGCTCCTTCTGCAGGAGCGCACAGCACCCAGGACCCTGGCACCCGTGCAGACCCTGGCCCACCCCACCTGGGCGCTCAGTGCCCAAGAGACGTCCACACCTAGAATGTCCCGCGGTGGGTGGGGGGCCCGAGAGACGGGCAGGCCGGGGACAGGCCTGGCCATGCGGGGCCGAACCAGGCACTGCCCAGCGTGGGGTGCGGGGGCCACCGCGCGCGCCCCCAGCCCCCGGGCCCAGCACCCCAAGGCGGCCAACGCCAAAACTCTCCCTCCTCCTCTTCCTCAATCTCGCTCTCGCTCTTTTTTTTTTTTCGCAAAAGGAGGGGAGAGGGGGTAAAAAAATGCTGCACTGTGCGGCGAGGCCGGTGAGTGAGCGGCGCGGGGCCAATCAGCGCGCGCCGTTCCGAAAGTTGCCTTTTATGGCTCGAGCGGCCGCGGCGGCGCCCTATAAAACCCGGCGGCGCGACGCGCCTCCACCGCCGAGACCGCGTCCGCCCCGCGAGCACAGAGCCTCGCCTTTGCCGCTCCGCCGCCCGTTCACACCCGCCGCCAGGTAAGCCCGGCCAGCCGACCCTGGTAGGCGGCTCCCGGCTCGGCCGCCTAAGGCCGCGGCCCCTTCGCCTGTGCAGAGCCGCCTGCGCCGCAGCGGGGATCGCATGTGGGGACTGGACTGCAGTGGGAGACGCGGGAGAAGCCCCTGGGCCTCCAGAGATGTGGGGACACCCCGCTCCAGTTTGGAGGCGCGGGGCCCTGCTCGGGAGGCGCGCTCTGGGGGTGCCGCTCTCGGGATGGGGGCAGCCGGCGGGGTCTTCGTCCGAGCCGGCGTCTTGACAGTGGGGACTGCAGGGTGGGCGCGGCGGAGCCCCCCCAGGCTCGGTGGGGGGCTGGGGCGCCATTGCGCGTGCGTCCTGGGGCTTGGGGCGCTAACTGTGCGTGCGCGCTGGGAATCGGCGCTAATTGCGCGTGCGCGCTGGGACTCAAGGCGCTAACTGCGCGTGCGTTCTGGGCCCCGGGTGCCGCGGCCTGGGCTGGGGCAAGGGCTGGCCCCGCCGGAAGGGGTGGGGTCGCGGAGGCTCCAGGGCGCTTGCGCGCACTTCCTGCCCGCGCCGCCGGCCGCCTGAGGGTGTGGCCGCCGCGCGCGCGCGCGCCGACCCAGCGCTATTTGAACGGAGCGGAGGCGGGGCCGGCTCCCGGTTGGGAGGGGGTGGGGGCCTGGCTTCCTGCCGCGCGCGTTGGGGACGCCTCCGACCAGTGTTTGCCTTTTATGGTAATAACGCGGCCGGCCCGGCTTCCTTTGTCCCCAATCTGGGCGCGCGCCTGCGCCCCCTGGCGGCCTAAGGCCTCGGCGCGCCGGAAGTGGGCAGGGCGGGGGCCACCTCGGCTCACAGCGCGCCCGGCTTTCCCGCAGCTCGCCATGGATGATGATATCGCCGCGCTCGTTGTCGACAACGGCTCCGGCATGTGCAAGGCCGGCTTCGCGGGCGACGATGCACCCCGGGCCGTCTTCCCCTCCATCGTGGGGCGCCCCAGACACCAGGTAGGGGAGCTGGGTGGGTGGGGCGGCCCCGGGAGCGGGCGGGAGGCGAGGGCGCTTTCTCTGCACGGGGGTCTCCCGGTTTCTGGGGTGGGGGCCGCGCCCGTGCTTAGGGCGCCTTGTTTTTTCCTTCCTAGGGCGTGATGGTGGGCATGGGTCAGAAGGATTCATATGTGGGCGACGAGGCCCAGAGCAAGAGAGGCATTCTCACCCTGAAGTACCCCATCGAGCACGGTATCGTCACCAACTGGGACGACATGGAGAAGATCTGGCACCACACTTTCTACAATGAGCTGCGTGTGGCTCCTGAGGAGCACCCCGTGCTGCTGACCGAGGCCCCCCTGAACCCCAAGGCCAACCGCGAGAAGATGACCCAGGTAAGTGGCCCGCTACCTCTTGTGGTGGCCACCGCCCTCCTTCCTGGTCTCCCGGAGCTGTGCCCTTTCTCACTGGTTCTCTCTTCTGCCGTTCTCCGTAGGACTCTCTTCTCTGACCTGAGTCTCCTTTGGAACTCTGCAGGTTCTATTTGCTTTTTCCCAGATGAGCTCTTTTTCTGGTGTTTGCCTCTCTGACTAGGTGTCTAAAACAGACAGTGCTGTGGGTGTAGGTACTAACACTGGCTCGTGTGACAAGCCCATAAGGCTGGTGTAAAGCGGCCTTGGAGTGTGTATTCAGTAGGTGCACAGTAGGTCTGAACAGAATCCCCATCCCAAGACCCCAGCACACTTAGCAGTGTTCTTTGCACTTCCTGCATGTCCCCCATCTGGCCTGGCTGTCTCAGTAGCTTCCTGAGTGTGACATGGTGCATTTCTTCCTTACAGATCATGTTTGAGACCTTCAACACCCCAGCCATGTACGTGGCCATCCAGGCCGCACTGTCCCTGTACACCTCTGGCCGTACTACTGGCATCGTGATGGACTCCGGTGACGGGGTCACCCACACTGTGCCCATCTACGAGGGGTATGCCCTCCCCCATGCCATCCTGCGTCTGGACCTGGCTGGCCGGGACCTGACTGACTACCTCATGAAGATCCTCACTGAGCGCGGCTACAGCTTCACCACCACGGCTGAGCGGGAAATCGTGCGTGACATTAAGGAGAAGCTGTGCTATGTCGCCCTGGACTTCGAGCAGGAGATGGCCACGGCGGCTTCCAGCTCCTCCCTGGAGAAGAGCTACGAGCTGCCCGATGGCCAGGTCATCACCATCGGCAATGAGCGGTTCCGCTGCCCTGAGGCTCTCTTCCAACCTTCCTTCCTGGGTGAGTGGAGACCCGCCTCCCGGCCCTGCCTGACCTGAGGGTCACCTTGGGGCTGTGCTGTGGAAGCTAAGTCCGCCCTCATTTCCTCCTCAGGCATGGAGTCCTGTGGCATCCACGAAACTACCTTCAACTCCATCATGAAGTGTGACGTGGATATCCGTAAAGACCTGTACGCCAACACAGTGCTGTCTGGTGGCACCACCATGTACCCTGGCATTGCTGACAGGATGCAGAAGGAGATTACTGCCCTGGCGCCCAGCACGATGAAGATCAAGGTGGGTGTCCTTCCACCCTGAGCTGACCTGGGCAGGAGGGCCGTGGGGAGCTGTCACATCCGGGGTTCTCACTACCTGTTTGTTCCCTTCCCTCCTCAGATCATTGCTCCTCCTGAGCGCAAGTACTCTGTGTGGATCGGCGGCTCCATCCTGGCCTCGCTGTCCACCTTCCGGCAGATGTGGATCACCAAGCAGGAGTATGATGAGTCAGGCCCCTCCATTGTCCACCGCAAATGCTTCTAGGCGGACTGTGACTTAGTTGCGTTACACCCTTTCTTGACAAAACCTAACTTGCGCAGAAAACAAGATGAGATTGGCATGGCTTTATTTGTTTTTTTTGTTTTGTTTTGGTTTTTTTTTTTGGCTTGACTCAGGATTTAAAAACTGGAACGGTGAAGGTGACAGCAGTCGGTTGGAGCGAGCATCCCCCAAAGTTCTACAATGTGGCCGAGGACTTTGATTGTACATTGTTCTTTTTTTTAATAGTCATTCCAAATATGAGATGCATTGTTACAGGAAGTCCCTTGCCCTCCTAAAAGCCACCCCACTTCTCTCTAAGGAGAATGGCCCAGTCCTCTCCCGAGTCCACACAGGGGAGGTGATAGCATTGCTTTCGTGTAAATTATGTAATGCAAAATTTTTTTAATCTTCGCCTTAATACTTTTTTATTTTGTTTTATTTTGAATAATGAGCCTTCATGCCCCCCCTTTTTGTCCCCCAACTTGAGATGTCTGAAGGCTTTTGGTCTCCCTGGGAGTGCGTGGAGGCAGCCAGGGCTTACCTGTACACTGACTTGAGACCAGTTGAATAAAAGTGCACACCTTACAAATGAGGCCAAGAGTGACTTTGTGGCGTGACTGGGTTGTGGGCAGCGGAGGGTGATCCCTGAAGGGTGGGGCGGTGGGGGCCAACTTGTCCTTACCTAGAGTGGAGGTGGGCCAAGGTCCCTTCCGCCTTGACATTGAGCAGCCTTAGAGGGTGGGGGAAGATTCAGGATTCAGCTCTCTGTTTCTGCTTACTGGGGAGTTCCTGGCCTGGCCCTTCCACCCATTCCCAGGTACCCTAGTTTCTCTGGTACTCAGTGCATATGCTTGAGGTGGAAATGGTTTGAGGTGGAAAACGCTTGAGGAAAATGCTTGAGGTGGAAAACGCTGTTTTGGGGTGTCTGGTGGCCCAGGTGCCATTCCTCATTGGTGCTGGTTGGCACCTGGATTTCCTGGGAGTGGAACTCCCTGAGGGTCAACTCTTAGCATGGTGTTCCCTTGAGTGGGGGTGTAGTGGGGGTGTAGTGGGAGTGGGTGTAGCTGCCACACCTTTGTCTTCACCATATGGAGTGGTGGCTGTCAGGGTCACCTTTGAGGGTCAGCCTGGCCCAGGCTCCTATAGGCTGAGGAAAGGCTGGGATTCCTGCCTATTCACCCAGACTGGGGAACCTGGAATCACAGTCAGTTGGGGTGGGGGATCCATGGGGCCATATCTGGTCTGCAGACAGCTCTGGTTAGCTGTGGGCTGAGGTCTGGATTCTGCCTTGTGACTGGAGACGGTGCCATCCCGTGGCCTCTCGGCCAGTTTCTTCGTGATCTACAGAGGGAGACATCCAGACTCCTGGACAGCAGGGCCTGCCTGGCACTGCAGGCAGATTCTTTTTTTACTCTTTTTTTTTTTTTTGAGACGGAGTCTCGCTCTGTCGCCCAGGCTGGAGTGTGGTGGCCCAATCTCAGCTCACTGCAAGCTCCGCCTCCCGGGTTCACGCCATTCTCCTGCCTCAGCCTCCCGAGTAGCTGGGACTACAGGCGCCCGCCACCTCGCCCGGCTAGTTTGTTTTTGTATTTTTTAGTGGAGACGGGGTTTCACCGTGTTAGCCAGGATGGTCTCATCTCCTGACCTCGTGATCCGCCCGTCTCGGCCTCCCAAAGTGCTGGGATTACAGGCTTGAGCCACCGCGCCCGGCCTCTTTTTTTATTCTTGAGCCGGGGTGTTGTGTTGCCCAGGCTGGAGTGCAATGGCACAACCATGGCTCACTGCAGCCTCAACTTTCTGGGCTCGAGCAATTCTCCTGCCTCAGCCTCCCAAGTAGCTGAAACTATACAGGCACGCCCCAGCATGCCCAGCTAGTTGCAGGTCAGATTCTCATTGTTCTGCAGGGCCCTGAGTTAAATACTCTTGCAGGAAGAAACCAAGCCTGGCCTCCCTTCCCTCTGCTAGAAGCTGTGATTGACACAAGCAGAGAATGAAGAAAAGGGTGAGGAGGATCCCTTGCAGGGATGCCGTTTACCCAAAACACCACCTGGTGCATAGCAGTTCTGGAAATGATTCGGTCCTCCCAGGAGGCCTAGGACTGCCTCACCTGTGTATAGTGGCTGCTGGCAGAGAGGAGGGTGGTCCCCTTCCTCCTGGGTCCCCTGAAGGACTGTCTGGGGCAGTTCCAGCTCTTTTGGTCTGATTTCTGCAGTGGTGAGCCCTGGGCCACCTTGGGCCACTTAAGCACCCATTCATTGAGTGACCACTATATGGCGGGCCCGAGGCTGCTGAAATGACCTGGGCAAGGACCCTGCCCTGGAGGAGCTGTCAGTCTGGAAATGAGGACTTCATTCATTCGCTTATTCGTCCATCCATCCAATCACTGTTTGTGCCAGGTACTGCAGGTATAGAGGAGAACCAACCAGATGTGTTCCCTGTTCTCACCAGGCACCCAGTTTAATGGGGAAGACATCACAAGCACGAAGGCAAATGAATGTACAATGACATGCTGTGATCATGGGAAGAAAGAGCAGAGGCTTTGATGAACACGAGCATCAGGTGATGTTCATTATGTCATTGTGGTGGTGGTCTCCCGGGTGTAGACATACTTCAAAACTTACCTAATTGGGCCTGCCGTGATGACGCATGCCTGTAATCCCAGCACTTTGGGAAGCTGAGGTGGGAGGATCGCTTGAGCCCAGCAGCTCAAGGCTGCAGTGAGCTATGATTGCACCACTGCACTGCAGCCTGGGTGACAGAACAAGACCCTGACTCTAAAAACTAAAATAGACCGTGGTGGCTCGCACCTGTAATCGCAGCACTTTGGGAGACTGAGTCAGGTGGGTCATTTGAGCCCAAATGCAGCCTAGGCAGCATAGTGAGATCTTGTCTCAATTTTTTTCTTTTTCTTTTTTCTTTTTTTTTTTTTTTTTTGTGATGAAGTCTCTTTCTGTCACCCAGGCTGGAGTGCAGTGGCGTGATCTTGGCTCACTGCAACCTTTGCCTCTTGGGTTCAAGCAATTCTTCTGCCTCAGTCTCTTTCTGTCACCCAGGCTGGAGTGCAGTGGCGTGATCTTGGCTCACTGCAACCTTTGCCTCTTGGGTTCAAGCAATTCTTCTGCCTCAGTCTCCTGAGTAGCTGGGATTACAGGCATGTGCCACAACCCCTGGTTAGTTTTTGTATTTTTCACAGAGACAGGGTTTCGCCATGTTGGCCACGCTGGTCTTAAACTCCTGACCTCAGGTGATCCACCTCCTTGGCCTCCCAAAATGCTGGGATTACAGGCGTGAGCCACCACGCCCGGCGGCTGTGCACTCCTTATGAGCATCTAATGCCTGATGACCTGTCACTGTCTCCCATCACCCCGAGATGGGACTATCTAGTTGCAGGGAAAGAAGCTCAGGGCTCTCATTGATTCAATATCATGTTGAATTGTAGAATTAGTTGACCATATACTACAACGTAATAATAGTAGGTAGAGAGTGCGATAAGCATAATGTGCTTGAATCATCCAAAAACCATCCCCCCGCCCCCATTCATGGAAAAATTATCTTCCACGAAACTGGTCCCTGGTGACAAAAAGACTGGAGGCTGCTGACATTGGTGACGCACAGCTGGGACAGCTTCACCCATAGGTTGACCAGCGACTTCAGCAGCTCCTATTCCTTGCCAAGAAAGTCCCAGCCTTAATTTTGGGCATGGCTACACAAGCCTCTGCTGCCGCCACCTACTCCAAAAGAAAGGAAGAGGGCCAGAAATACAGATTTTAAAAAGCAAAGGGAGACCAGCCTGACCAACACAGTGAAACCTCATCTCTACTAAAAATACAAAAATTAGCCGGGCAGGGTGGCGTGCACCTGTAATCCCAGCTACTCGGGAAGCTGAGGCAGAAGAATCACTTGAATCTGGGAGGCAGAGGTTACAGCAAGCCAAGATTGCGCCACCGCACTCCAGCCTGGGAGACAGAGTGAGACTCCATCCCCCCGTGGAAACAGCAAAGGAGCCAGGTGCAGTGTCTCATGCCTGTCATCCCAGCACTTTGGGAGACCAAGGCAGTCGGATCACGTGAGGTCAGGAGTCGAGACCAGCCTGGCTAACATAGTGAAACCCCATCTCTACTGAAAATACAAAAAATTTTCTGGGCATGGTGGCGCGCACCTGTAATCCCAGCTACTCAGGAGGCTGAGGCGGAAGAATTGCTCGAACTTGGGAGGTGGAGGTTGCAGTGAGCTGAGATCGCACCACTGCACTCTAGCCTGGGCAACAGTGCGAGACTCCATTTCAAAAAAAAAAAAGAGCAAAAGATCATTGAACATGGGCAGACTTGGGGGTAGGGAGAGACAGGGAGAGAGGAGCTGTCACTCTTTTTCTTTTCTTGTTTTATTTTTTGTTGAGATGGGGTCTTGCTATATTGCCCAGGCTGGTCGTGAACTCCTGGCCTCAAGTCATCCACTTGCCTTGGCTCCCCGAAGTGCTGGGTTTGCAGGCATGAGCGATCACGTCCAGCCTATTTCATTTTTTACAATCAGAGTCTCAGTCTGTCACCCAGGCTGGAGTGCAGTGCTGTGATCATAGTTCACTGTAACCTCCAACTCCTGGACTCATGCAATACTCCCGCCTCGGCCTCCCATGTAGCTGGGACTACAGATGTGTACCACCGTGCCTGGCTAATTGAGCCATCACTCTTGAGTAGGCTTCCCCAGATGGCTGCCTGGAGGAAGAATGCTTGAGCTGCCTCCGGAGGCCAGAGGAGTCCCCTGGGGAGGTGGTGTGGCGTGTGCGTCTCAGAGGCATGGATTGATTGGTTACAGAGGCCCAAAGAGGAGATACAACCTCCAAGACAGAATGGAGCATTGGTTGAATGTTAGACACGTTGTCTATGTGGCTTTGGGAAGTCACATCACTGCCCATGTCCCCATTTGAGAAATGGGCATATCAGTAACAACTGGAGGGGTGACTGTAGCAGGTGCACTGCGTCAGTCCTTTTCTTTTATTTTATTCTTCTTGTCATTTTTTGAGACAGAGTCTTTCCTGGGCTCATTGGTAAGCACCTCGGCCTCTAAAGTGCTGGATTACCAGGATGGCCACCGAGCCTGGCCATTACCTGGCTATTTTTAAAATTTTTGGCGGGCGGCAGGTGGTCAAGCCTGTAATCCCAGCACTTTGGGAGGGCCGAGATGGGTGGCTCACAGGTCGGGATCGAGCCACTGGCTAAACGGTGAACCCACTTACCTAAACTACAAAAAACTAGCGGGTGGGTGCGGGGTCTGTAGTCCCAGTACTCGGGAGGTGAGGAGGAGAAATGGCATAAATGAGGAGGCAGAGCTTGCAAGTGAGCTGGATCCGCCACTGCACTCCGCCTGAGGAGGAAGCGAGGACTTCGTCTCAAC